CACCAGGGAAGAAGCTGTTCTTGAACCATTTGCTGCGTGTTCAAGCTTCTGTATTTTCTGCCTGACGGAAGAGGTTGGAAGAGAGTATTACTGGGGTGGGAGGGGTCTTTGATGTTGGCAGCCTTTCCGCAGCAACGAGATGCGAAAAGGAGTCCACGGATGGGAGGTTGGCTTTTGTGATGTTCTGGGTTGTGCACACAACTTTCAGTAGTTTCTTACAGCCCTGTGCAGATCAGTTGCCATACCAGGCGCTTATACCCTAGATAGAATGCTTTCCAGGGTGCATCCATCCTTATGGACATGCTGAATTTCCTGAGCCTGAGGAAGAGGAGGCATTGTTGTGCCTTCTTGACCATCGCAGCTATGTGGGAGGTCCTGGACAGGTTGTTGGTTATCATCACACCTAGAACTTGGCGCTCTCGACCCTCTCCACCTCAGCTCTGTTGATGTATATTGGTGTGTATCCCCCTCCTTTTTTCCTGAAGTCAATGATCAATTCTTATGTTGTGCTCACATTAAGAGAGAGATTGTTATCAATCCACCAGGACACCAAGCATTCTATCTCCTTCATGTATTTTGACTCATCATTGTTTGATTATAAACTTCACACAGACAGTTATCTGAGGGTGGAATCGAACTCGGGTCCCCAGGGCTGTGAAGAAGTCGTGCTAACTGCTGACCCACTTATAAACATAACAGTCAACCTGTTGTATGCAGGTTTCAATAAGGTGCACCACAAGCCAGACAGCACGTCACAACTGAGTGCGGTTATGAACCAGGACCGCTTCCTCTACCCCAAAGTCCTCATGCTCCTCCTTGAAAGATTGCTCCTGTTCCCCCAGTTCCCCAGCATCCAGCACTCCATCTCATTGCCTCCTCCAAATGTGCAGGGCACAGCATGCCAGGAAGATGCAGCTAACTGTATCTGGATAATACTAGGAGGCTCCCCTCAACACCCCAAACTGATCCAAACAGTAGTACCATATCTTCATCAGCTCTGCTGTCTGCTCCACCACAGCCTTGATAATGGACGGCATTAAACCTGTGCCCTGAATCAGTGATGGAGTTGCACAATGGTGTCATGAGCCAGAGTCACAGTGGGTACCCCTTGTAAGGCACTGGGCCCTCAAATGCACCAGGTACACAAGAGTGCTCCAGTTGTGACACCTGCCAAGGTAGAGGGCACACAATTCCAGGACATTGTAATAGTGATCACAGATTATCTGAACGTTAATGAAATGGAGCCCCTTCCAGCTGATGCATGCTGCAGAGCTGCAATAATGTCCCCTCAGTGCCATGCGTACAGCCGTGTAACTGCAGCACTGATGTCATCTTGCAGCAAAATGAATTAGTGTAGTCTTGTACAGATGATTTGTTACCGTCCTGATGTATATGTGGGTGCATGACAGAGATCCCACACAGGTCTTCATTTGCTGGAAGCAGCAAGTCACAGAGAAGCTCTGTGTCGCAGCAACTTTCACAATTACCGGCAGACGATGGCTTCCCACCTCTGAGCCTTCAGGTCCCACTCCAGCATCTAGCACAATCCCATCATTGTATCCTGGGACAGTGTCCTGCGTTGACAGTGTGCCCCTCTCATCCCCAGGAAATGGAGTCAGGGCAGAAAATACCAGTCTCTCATGCACCCCATGCATCCCGAGGGTCTCTGCAACTGTGACCTCTCCACACCCCCAACACGATCTTGGACTGGCCGTTAGCTCTGCTCCTCCTACATCCCTCTTCATCTTCTCAGGAAGGCAGCCACAGTGACCAACATCTCACCAAAAGGGGGGCCCATGACTCTTGGTGTAAAGGGCCTAAATTAGGAACAGAAGGAGTGAAAGAGTTTCTTAAAGCTCACAACAGTCTGCAGTGGGGAAACCTGCAGGAGAGCGTTGAGCGCATTTCTCCACAAAGTGAGACATACTGCAGGTGGTTAACAAGGGCCATGTCTGCAATGCACATTCACATTCCACCACAGCAGATGTTGTCACTTACTGAAGATGCCATACTGGCCGAGTGACCACATGTCCACGCGAAGGGGCCGCCTGCAGTGCAACATCACCCTCCCAACAGTACACCCACAAATTGCTGAACCTGACACTGCTGTCAGCACACACAACAGTGAAAGCTACTGACAGAGGACTCAAAATCATGGGGCTCACACAGGACTCTTGGAATTTGCACTAACAGTGGCTTGCCTGCAACCAGCACAGGCTGTTCAGATTGTCACCGCTGATCACTTCAGTATTACCGAGATGCCCAGGTTCAATTTGCAAGCAACAATGACACGTAACAAATCGCTTTTGATAGATTTCTGACATGTGTGCTGTGATCCAGTGTGGCTACACCTTCCAAATAGTTGCTTCATGTTTTAGCTGCATCCAGCAAACAGGGATCCTGTGCTTTCATCATTAACTTACTCCATTCACCCTGGGCAGCATTCCAGTCATTTTCTAGGAGCACTTCACAGCAAGAGAAGGGAACATGATGGTTGGCAATGCAAATCACACGGGACACCATCAGCACTGAGCTCCACTTCATCACCAGGTAACCCTCCCTTCATAACATTTTATTACCTTGTTCTATTCTGACAACCCATCCCCCAATGTGGAAATTCACCGTAAAGAACTTCATCAACAACTGTCCTCCCTGCCATTACACCCTGCTGATACCCACCTTGCACTTTTATGCTCCCCCTATGGAGGTCCCAGTGGTAGTCACAGTCAGTAACCATCCCCCTCCTGGGACCCCTACCAAGCTCTCCAAATCAGTTCAAATAGCCCCCATTCAACGAGGGTGGCCCTATCAACATCCTTAGCCGTACTAATATAGGTAACTCAGTTTTCCTTCTCAGCCTTGACTCTCCCACCCACTCTATCATTGATCTCCCTGCTGCTCTGACAGCAACCTCCCACTGCCCTGAACCCTCCTGTAACATCACAGATGAACCTACAGGACTGTATTTGCCCCAGACCTTTGACTAACTTCAAAGATCACCCCCAGATTCATGACTGCTGCATTCCCCACTCCCACACTGATAATATACAATTCCCCTGACTGCTTGTGCTGATCCTACAAGACTGACCACTGAATATTCTCTGAACTGATCCCTGGACCTTGTTCATTCCAAACACAAGATCGACCATGTCAGAGCCCCTGGATTTTATGCAGATTGTGTCTGTGACTGATGGTACTGACACACTCTAACCACTCACAGCACCACTCTCCTGGACTCATTTGAGATTGCCCCCATATAGTTTTGACATCTCCATTTGGATGAGTGACGTATAGTGTGCTTGCCTCACAGACAGCTAGCACATGCTGTGGATGATAAATTGCTGTCTCAGTGCACCATACAGCAAGATGTCCCCTCCCCTGCACCCCAGGATGTTCCAGTACTGACAAGCAGTCTGTCTGTGTGTCTCACTAAAGGACCTTTATAATTGCAGCAATGACATGGGTAAGCAAAACAATGCAAGGCAATACAAAGCAAGGCATGGATAGTGCATGCACACAAGTAGGTGCAAAATGAGTGAGTGCTAAAAGAGCAAAT